TAAAAATGTCTTTAAAATGACATAAAAATAAAGACCTAAAAATTTTTGCCCAGGAGGCAAAGAAAAAATATGAAGTTGAGTACCTAGAGATCTATTTCCTTAAGCATATTAATGTCCCTGATCCTCTCCTACTTCATCTGCAAAATTAGGAGGCTAGATTCATTGAATCTAGCCATGGATATAAGGTCCAGTCAAGTTCTAAAAATTTTGATTCTATAAAAAGCCACCCTTAAATAAAATGTATTTCTTACACAACAAAAGATAAAATGCATACCATCTATAGGAAAAATCTGGCTTATCAAATACTTCTCATGACCTTGGAATAAGAATTAATTTTTCTGAGTCTCAGTTTTTCCTCCTCAATAAAAAATGAGATTTGATGAGATACTTTTTATTATATATTCCAACTCTGAGATCTTCCCAGAAAATAATTTTAATAATATTCTTAAGATCTTTTTGATAAAATGAATACATAAGTATATTACTTAAGTACAAATTTAATTCATACATAGTAGATACATGCTAATGTAAATTGATTTGAATTGTGAGAACCTACTAAAGGTGAACTTAATCTAAACACATTAGTGGGAGAACATACTTATAGCAAGGAGAAGCAAGCAATTATTCATCCATACCCTAACTACTCAGGAGTATGTATGTTACCATGTCATCATATTCTTCTTACATATAACATCAGTGAACACAAAAATATGTTTTTGATTAATCTTTCTTAAGGACATCTGATCTCAAAACACCATCAGGCATATAGTGAATATCAATAATTATTCATATATACTAATGATAAAAATGACAGATACTAAATATATAGGGGTAAAATACAATTTCATGCATCCAGTAGATAAATTTCATATAGTCATATAATCAGAATTCAAGGCACTTATTAAATCTGATAAATCAGTCTGGGGTTTTCAAAGAGCATGCCATGTCATTCTCTATAGCATAAGCTACTTCCTACTTCATTTGATGTAAACAGAATAAAAGAGTAGGCAGAAATACTATATATTTAGACTGAAAGAGAAGCCGCTTATACCAATAATACACAGTCACACAATGACATACAGTTCTAAAAATGATCCTCAATGGAGTTAAAACCGATGATCCAATCATTTCATTTCTAGGAATCTACTCCAAGAAAATAATCAGAAATATAGACAAAGATGTATGTACAAATATGTACACTGAAGTGTTATTTATAATAGCAAAAATTATAAACAAATCAAGTTTCTGAAAACAAGGGATGGTTAATGTATGATCTATTTAATACAATATTGTACACAACAAAGACTTTTTAATGACATGGTAAAAAGTAGATAAGAATTTTTATTCTGTCTTTATATATTTCTGTATTATGTGCATTCTACATAGGGGGAAATAATATTAATATATGCTCAACTTATATTTCTCAAAGACTACTGTATCAACACAATAAAAGACGGCAAATAGTCAGGAACTTAATGGAATAACTCAAACAAGAAATGAAGAGGGTATGAATGAAGAGGGCATGAACTATACAATGGCACTAGAAATGTAAAGAAGAGATAGTTTCAAGAGATATTCAGGAAGCAGAATCAACAGGTTGTGGCTACCAATTGGAACAGTAAGTAATAAAGAAGATACTGGGCTAAATTATCATTCCACGAACTAAAATCAGAAATGCAGGAGGCAAAACAGTTTAGGGGAAAATAATAAGTCAGATAATAATTGTTTACTTTTTACCAAAATATTCTAACTTGAAAATGGCTAACATGAACTGTTTCAAGAAAAAGCTTTGTAATTTACCATATCATTTTTATTCTCCATAAAAATGCTGAGTTTCTTCAAGAATGACACAACTAGAATAAGCAGCTCAAAATTGTCCCGATCAAGAGCCTTCACCAACATGTGAACTATGTTCTTATTCCTCATTTTTAGTTCTGTACGAGTATCCTCAGCAAGATTCAGAAGCAAATAAAGAGCAACTAGAAAAGTAAAATAGATGAATTAAACGATTAGTATATTGAATCAACAATTTAAAAAATCATTTCTACTCACCAAGGTAACAGATATAGTTACAAAAAGATAATATATTATTCTGAAAATTTAACTGACTAGTAACTGGTTCATTAGAAAACATTTATTGAGTGTTATTGCATGGAGTATTATATATTATCTAAAGCAACACATATAATATATATAAAATAATCTTAAAATGCTGAGAAGGATACAATAACCAAAGTAAGGAAATGATTCCTACCCTCTTGCAGGTTAAAGCTTAATAGAAATCAAATGGCAATTAAAGGGAGATAAGTCAACAAATAATAAGCAACAAGCAAACAGGCAACAATAGTTTTTATACATACAGAAAATAAGGAAATATATTATAAAACTTCAAAAACTAAAGGCTTCTGTGTTAAAAAGAGTTATAATCCAAAACATACAGTACAGCTACAGTTAAATTTGAGGATACTAAAATCTATTTTTCAAATTCAAACTGATTTCTGTTAGTCACTATAAGAAAAGACAATATGAAATTCAGCACTACAATTGTTACACTAGATAGAGTTGAGGTCACTGTTTACTAGTTCTAAGTAAGATTTCTTTTAGATCCCCATAATAAAAATGCTTAGGTTCTCAAAGGAAACTTATGTGATTATTCCCTTTTGACAGTGAAAATTATATAAGAGATAATGTTTTCCATTTTGTCTTGATTGACAGGAAACTTCAGAGTTAGATTTTAAAAGTTTCTTTAAGAATTATATATGCTATTACGGTATTAAGAATTATATATGCTATTATGGTATGCTATTAAGAATTATATATGCTAACATAGCCTTTTTGCTCTCCTATGGCCTCATTATTTTAGTATTTCACTTTAAGTGTTCTTGTAAACTATTTCTAAACCTTTATGAAAAGAAGAAATACATGCATATATATATACACACAAGTAGATAAATATTAAATTTATTTAAAAAGTATTTGAGATAGAAAGGCAAATCACACTTATTAAATACATATTGTATGCTAGACCTTTTGATATATAA